AATAGTAGTATTTATAATAAGTTAACATTTAGATAGCGTTAGAGAAGATGATAGGTTATAATCGTCAATTTCGTAGCGTATAGTGAGATACTATTTAAGCCGTAATATAAGGCGATCCGCGTATAATAGTATTTATGGGGACCGGTAGTAGTAAAACATTAATTTTTATATTATCCGTATAGTATGGCATTAGCTATAGAGGTATAACCGTAGTAGTAGTACCGTTAATTGCGTTACAAAGAGATATAAAATAGCGATATTAGGAGTTAGAGTTAGAGTGTATTAAGTAGTTAAGTTTATGGATTACTAATAGGGCTGATATTATATTAGTAACGCCTAAAAGTATATTTAGTACCGCATTCTAGAAGTTTATATAGCGTATAAAGAGTGGGAAACGATTAGATCGTATCGTAGTGGATAAGTATTATATAGTATTGAATAAGTAGAAGTATTTTCGCCGTTATATATAAGAATTAGGTGCGTTAAATTAATAAGATATATAGATTTTGATATTAATAGCTACTATACCCGTTTATATAGAGGATAAATTTCAACGTTAGATAGGTATTATTAATATAGTTATAAGTATATTTCGAGACGTTATAATACGAAAGAATATTATATACTATATTTATTAGTTAAGACGTACGAAGAGTATAGGTAATACGTAGAAGAGAAGTCCGCGATTCCCACTAGATTAAGAGGAGGTACTAGCCCTATCCAAAATGTGGTTCATTATCCTACCCAGACTAATGATTGCTCCCCATACAAAATGTATGGAGACCCTAACCCTATCCAAAATGTGGTTCATTATCCTACCCAGACTAATGATTGCTCCCCATACAAAATGTATGGAGACCCTAACCCTATCCAAAATGTGGTTCATTATCCTACCCAGACTAATGATTGCTCCCTATACAAAATGTATGGAGACCCTAACCCTATCTAAAATGTGGTTCATTATCCTACTCAGACTAATGATTACTCCCCATACAAAATGTATGGAGACCCTAACCCTAGTCTTAGCGGGTTAATTTTAGGATAATAATTGACTTCTCTTCAGACTAATGATTGGTTCCCGGGCGATTACGGTTCTGCATTTAGAGTATATCATAATAGAGGCCCATAGTTTATAACTTACGCGATTTGCACCACGATTACACTTCGTGGACGGGTGGAATCGTGGATGGAAAATCGACCATTTTATATAGGAGGAATATCAAAATTTCTACGGGAAGGTTAAGAAAAGGGGCTCTTAGGGTTAGGGTTGAAGAACAGCCAGGGTCGAGTCCGAACCGGGTAAGGTAAGCGAAATTAGTAGAGTCAGGAGCTACGGGTGAATCCAGCAGAATAGATAGGATAAATGCAATATAGATAATAGATACGAGGACTTTGAGTTGAAGTGTGATAGTTTACTAGTCACCATTAAATTCGCGTTTATCGATATCATCAGTTATTTGACGACGATGACGGCATTAGTTAAGGACGAACCCATCTAGGTCGACGAAGTATTTCAGTACTCGTACCGCATCCAACTCCCCATTTGCCGTCAATATCGACATGCCATATGGCCAGAGCAGATTGCCAGTCATTTACAGCGACGACAGCATCGATTAAGCCCGTCAGATGCCCGGTATGTCCAGAATCAAGTTTTCTAGTGGCCCGATTTACTGCAGAATCGTGACGTCGTGTATACGATCCACCAGAGGATTCAAGACCCCGTTCCCCAGTTGGATATCCATACGGACGGGTTGTTATACGGCAGTCCGACCGAGCAATGTCGATATGTATGTCGCGGTAAGGCGACTATGAAGGTTTATTGGGCACGATGTCATCCCGGTCAGCGAGGCTATGCCGGTGCGCCGTATGCCGGTCGAGGAGGCCATCCCTACGCCCGGCCGTGGAAATCGGTATATTACTAGCGGGTATTCCCCCGTAGTCGAGGGTCCTAGTATTTTGAGGTCCACGCCCCGGAGCGGGCCGAAGAAGCCGCCCCGAAGCCATCACCACCACCACCTAGTAAGGTCGAACAAGTACGACAGATGTTGTAGTAAAGGATGGAAAAGATCTAGGACCGTGAACGGCGTACTATCGACGAAGGAGCGTATAACGAGCCTAGCCTATAGTTAGAACGAACCGGGTGGGCCTAGTATTTACGCAAATTGGACCGTGATGAGTTATTATAGAGTATCGCCACGCTAGAGATGGATCCAGAACCCGTCAGTTAAGTGATATAGTAAGCGATGGACAAGATGATGTGACAATGTCAAGTCACCGTCAGGGCGTATGCCGGAGTATTTATGCGTAAGGAGGTGATGCGGACCGAAGAAGATCAAAGTCGATTCGTACTATTGAAAGGATACTAAAATCCGGAAGAGATTCAGGATAAAGGTCGACATTGGTAGTAGATTATCATGTTTTTCGTTCGTACGCAGCGGTCACATTCATAGAAGAGTCCCAAATATGCATTGAAGCATCACTAGTAGCACGCGTTTCAGTAATTGATATAGGAGGCCTAGCAGGAGGTCAAGAGGAGTAAGTTGCAGTACGAGGAGGGTGAGCACATCACCGCAGCAGCTAGTGAGTATATAAGTGACATTAAGGTTGAATCGCCGGATGAGAGGAGTGGTGATAGCGAGGATGATATGGAACTATAGTGTCCCTAAGGATTTGTCCCGTTAGAGGGTACCCAGCGAGTATATTTAGCGTTTTACATTTCGTTATTATACTAGAAAGCCCACCAATATGAATACGAATACGCATTAGTGTGCGCATTGGCCGTATTAGGTGTTGATGCGTATAGATGGAAAGGATATGACACATATCCGCCCATTTTATCTAGTGTGATTAAAATCGCCCGGTTGATGATGATTTAGTATGCGTTCCAAGAAACCACCCTAGACCCTGACAGCGCCCATAGCGATAGCGATAGTGACGATTTAACCCCCAGCACGAATGATGGTGAAGACGACAGCCATAGTCACGACGAGCACGACTATCCATTTGGTCCAGAACCTAAGTAAGTGGGATATATCGACGTAGTTTAGCACATAGTGGACCAATTCATGTTACGTACTAGCCACGGTCTCATAGAATAGATGTTGGATTTACGCATATACGGCATGAAGATTCAGTTTAGTGGTACGGCACCCAGTTTTATCGATTAGCATAGTGATCAAATCATATACAAAGACATCCAGTTCACCATAAGCTAGTTTCGCGGGATAGTGCACCAAATCGTGCATAATACCCGTGAGCGGTTATTACGCCGCGTGTTAGACATTAGTCCCCACCAAGAGTATAAATTACCCACTATTCTATGGGATGAATTACGTGACGATCCCGCTAACGCATAACCCGGTTGGAATTTTATGTAGGATCGTTGGAACCCGTAGCCCGTGAATAGTAAATAGTGGTTATTCAATCGATTAATGAAGAGTGGTCAATATCAATTTTTGTAGGATAGAGACGATGTGCGGTGGAATGTCGAAGAGGTACAGAGGTGGTTAGGTGAGGAAGATACCGTCCGAGAAGGGTTATTATTATTGAAGTAGTTCGTCAGAGGAGGACCCTGACGGGCACCTGAGTTGTTGAGTATTTGTCATAGTAACACCAGCTACGGTGGATATCGCAATATCGGTATTGAGGGTGGATTGGTGTTCACCACCACCCAGTACCACAAAGGGTACAGTATAAGTGGTGACGTGAAGATCATTCATCAGTATATACCACGCGAGGTAGGGGAACTAGATATATTATGGATATGGTTAGTGTTGCCATTACGCTAACGCATTAAAGCTGAGATATACCACCGTGAGAGTCGAACGAGTTTCATTTAGCTGCGCTAGAGTCCTAGCGGACACATATTCACCCCCGGTCGATTACGGGAGGGTTTGAAGCGAGTCGGTATGGTCCACTTAGGTCACGCATTGAACATCCAAATATATCGTCATTTGGGCATTAGCATTAGTCAGCGATATTTATAGACTAAGTCCGGGTTTGAGTATGACCCCAAGGACGAATAGGGCGAGATCAACGAAGATGAAGACAACATCATCGATCAATCCGCCGGATATATTAGCCACATCGCGTGGTCGATTTATGCGCGAGGCATTAGTGAGCGGGACGGTGAAGTGGCCAATAAGCGCGAGAAGTTTCGACGAGTCAGTGTATTATGGCATCGATTTTTAGGGTTCACGTCCAGTTAGGAGGATAGTCAATAATAATATCGCGGTGGACGTGAACCGTTCAAGAAAGAAGCCGAGGCGGGACGGTTTCGACGATGGTAGCATTTATAGTAAGTCAACATTCAGATGGCGTTGGAGAAGATGATAGGTCGGGGCCGTCGATTTCGTGGCGTACAGCGAGATACTATTCAAGCCGTGATGCGAGGCGATCCGCGCGTGATAGTGTTTATGGGGACCGGTGGTAGCAAAACATTAATTTTTATGTTGCCCGTATGGTGTGGCGTTGGCCGTGGAGGCATAACCGTGGTAGTGGTGCCGTTGATCGCGTTACGAAGAGATATGAAACGGCGATGTCAGGAGTTAGGGTTGGAGTGTGTTAAGTGGTCGAGTTCATGGATTGCCGACGGGGCCGATATTGTGTTAGTGACGCCTGAAAGTGTATTCAGTGCCGCATTCCAGAAGTTCATGTAGCGCATGAAGAGCGGGAAACAATTAGATCGCATCGTGGTGGACGAGTGTCATGTGGTGTTGAATAAGTAGAAGCATTTTCGCCGTCGCATGTAAGAATTAGGCGCGTTGAATCAATGGGATATGCAGATTTTGATGTTAACGGCCACTATGCCCGTTCACATAGAGGATGAATTTTGACATCGGATGGGTATTGTCGATATGGCCGTGAGTACATTTCGAGACGTCACAATACGAAAGAATATTACATACCGTATTTATCGGTTGAGACGTGCGAAGAGCGTGGGTAACACGCAGAAGAGAAGTTAGCGATTCCCACCAGATCAAGAGGAGGCACCAGCCCCGATGGAGACCATAGCGCATTTCGTACGCCAGCAGGTACGACGTCACCCCCATAGCAAGGTCGTGGTATATTGTCAAACTGTGCCGCAGACCAAGGCGTTGGCGGCGTTGTTGGCATATGACGCATACCACCACCACGCTGCTGACAAGGACATCAAGATGGGAGCGTTTCAGTCCGGCGCGACATCGTTGATCGTCAGCACCAGTGCATTTGGCATAGGGGTGGACATCCGCGATATTCGCGTGATCATTCACATGGACGAACCGCGGTTATTATTGGATTACGGGCAAGAAAGTAGTCGAGCCGGACGGGACGGGTAGAGGAGTGAAGCGATCATCGTGTTGCCGGCCGGGGCAGGTCGACATTACCGGCCATCATAGCAACCCCGCGACCGGTAGGTGGACGAGGTGGCATAACGGTAGGTGTGGGATTTCATAGAAGCACAGTATTAGCGAGAGGTGATGGACGGATTTATAGATAGGAACGTTCAGCGCGAGGGGTGTGGGAGTGACGAGGAGGTATATTAAGGTTATTATCGGGAGGGAGAGTTCGTAGAGAGTAGTGAGGCCGAAGGTGAGGATACCGATGGGAAGATTGGCGAGAGTGATGAGGAAGAGAGGAAGGAGACCGATGACGGCGACGACGACAATAGTAGCGAGTATGAGAGCGAGAGCGAGGGCGGGAGCGAGGGGGAAGTATATTAAGAGGCGAGGGCGAGAAAACGAGGGGTGGAGGCCACATGGGAAGATAGTCAGGAGTTTCGTCGGTAACAGAGTCAATAATAGCATATTGGTCAAGGGTGGCAGACGCAGAAGTAAGAGAGTCACCGTATGATAGAAGAGATTCGAGAGTATTTGGAGGTGGTGCGTGGGAAATGTATTTATTGTTTTTGGCCCGGAGGGACATCGACGGTACATTCGTCGATATACCATTACCCGTAGTTATCGGCGCAAAACGCCAAGGAGTTATACCGAGGGATCAAAGGTCGGATTCGCAAGCGGAAGGCGATAGAACAATTCAGCGGGTGTTCGTTTTGTTTTATCCCCCAGGCATAGTGTCACGGATAGCGTCAGCAGGGGGGCGGTGACGGGGATGGGGATTTTAAGCGGCGATTGGACCCGTATGGGAGGGCGACGCGATGTCAATATAAAGATATAGTGTTGAGCATCATCGCGGCGGCGATCGTTTTCGAGGGTAGTATGGGGGCGGAGGCGTACATCGATGGATTGGACCGGCGGATTCAATAGGGGGGCGGGTAGGGGGTGGAAGAACCGGGGGAATTAATTCGATATTTCAGTCAGGTGATAGATGGCGGTGGGTTAGAGACGAGTCAGTTATTGCAAGAATGTTGGTACGTATGGTAGTATTTGCAGCGGTTTCCGGAGGGGTTAGCGGGCGTACGGCAGATTGACGAGGGCCGGTTATAATATATATGGATATAGTTCGTTATATCATAGATATTTTTTCCGAATAGTACCATATTGGAGTCAATTCCGAGATCATTCTACGGGATATTCCCGTGGATTTTATATTATTATAGCTATGGTAATTCGCGTTATTTACGTAGAAAGTCAAAATAAAAATAAGCGTAGAAATAACGAATAAAGCTAAGGATAAAATCAAGAATAAAATGGGAATAAAATAAAATAAGTTAATAGGTTAATAGAGTAAGAGAGTAATGGAGTAATAGAGTGATAGAGTAATAGAGTAATAGAGCAATAGGGTAATAGGGTAATAGGGTAATGGAGTAGTTTAAAAGATAAGATAAAGAAAAAACATTAAAGGTTAATAAAGTAGTTATAGGTAATAGGGGGATAAAAAGGAGGAAAGCGTAGTAGAATAATAAGGTAGTAGGAGTAGTAGTAAGATGTTAAAGGGTAATAGTAGGGGGTTAGTAAATAGCGAATATTAATTATTATTATTATAAGTTCGTAATTACGGATGAAGGGTGATTATTTATCGCAATTTAATTATAAATAGGTAGAGTTCGATAGAAGGAAGTCATATAGAAGGGGTTTAATATAAGAGTTAGGGGTATATCATCAAGGATTGAGAGAAGAATATAATATAAAATAGCCGAGTTATTGAAAAGGAGTAATTCTATGAGAGTTTAGTATGAATAGTAGGTTGAGGAGATTTGAGGGAGGAAGAATAAGTGATGAATTAGTAATGTTATTATATTTTATAGTATTCAAATTTAGGAGAGGGACGAGAAAGAGAAGTGACGAGTCGAATTAAGCGAAGAAGGTCAGGGACGGATTTTTGGGGCGGAGAAGAGAGATCGAAGGTAGTAATAAGAGGCAATGAAGAGAGGAGGGATTGGGTTAAGGGTAAGGGCGGGGAGGGGGTGGTTAGTATTATGGATAAATTAAGAGATGAGAGAGAATTGACATTAAGGTTAAGGTCGGAGAGAGAGAAAGGTAGGAGGGACAACGGGTTAGGGTTCCTGGGCGAAAAAGGGAAGGTTTATAATAAGGTTAGAGTCAGGGTTTATAGTTGACAGGGTAAGGGTAGGTGGGGAGGGATCCGCGAGGGTTAGGGTTAACCGGTGAGGGGCCCGGGGAGGTATGCCACTAGCGAGGCAGGGCGGGGCTGAGAGGGTTAGGGTTACTGGTTGATGGAGAGAGGGGTCCGGAGGACATCACGTGAGGTCACGTGATGCGATTTTAGCCCCTACGTTAAGGGGTTCGACGGGTAGGGGCGGGCGTAACCCGGGCGCGAAGCGCGTCCCCCGTAGGCGGGGGTGTTCAAGCGTCAGAGGGGGAGCGTGAGCGACCCGGAGGGTAACCTGTAAGCGGACAGAGCGTGGAGAAGGGGGGTTTTTTCCCCCGGTGGGCCGGGCC